TGAGAGGCGGGAAGTAGGGGGCATTATGGAGACCCTGCCCTGGTGATCTGGGTGGGTCCCTCAGTTCCCCTGAGATCCGCTTGGCTCCTCGGGGGGGGGATTGGAGGGTTTGAGCCCCCACGAGCCTGCCTCCCATCTACCCTGGGGAGACGTCAGCGCCGGCGGGGGACGCGTTTGGGTGGGCAGCTTTGCGCCGGCGGGCTGCGCCCCGCCTCCGGCAGATGGGGATGTCATGAAGGCAGCTCTCACCAGGCCCCTCTCCCCGGGATTGGCAGCGTGCAAGCTGGCGACGCCTGCCAAAAATATTTGTGTAGGAGGTGGAAAGTTAACTTTAGTCTTCCTTTTGGTGCGGGGGAGCGGGAGGAGGAGTTTTTGCTCTGGATCCCATGCAAGTGAGTAGGAAGAGAGCAGGGGGTCGCATCTCCGCCTGCTTTCAGCAGCTAGTGGCTATTCCCCCCCCCCGCGCACACACTTTGGCACACTTTCAAAACGTGCCGTTTGCTTAGGAAAGTTGAGGGCCATTCCTGATGGCGAACATGCTGACGAGGAGCGCGGGGTGCAGAGCCCCTCGCAGGATTCGGTCCTTATTCCCAATGCCAAGTGGCAAGGGACAGGGGCACGAGCTGCCCCCGAGGCTAGATCCTGTTCCATTGAAGTCAGCAGAAGCTCAGCGTCCTTGGAAATCCAAGCCGTGGATTTAGGTCCCCCGGGCTTGGAAATGCGAATTGAATCCGAATCCAGGGCTGTAGCAAACAGCGCAGCCCTTCCTGCCCTTGGGAGCTAGTGCTGGGGTCAGGCTGGCGGGCTGGGGGGACACAATAACCCCGAGCCCTGATGGGCTGACCAGGGTGGCGGCCACAGAGACATGGGTCAGGAGAGGATAAATATCTGGGCCAGGCCATGGGGGGGTGAATTCGTTTGGCAGCCCATGTCTTTAGGGCTTATTTAAGTAGTTATGTGCCTGTTTCTATCCTGCCCCGGGGTGGGGGCATGGCTGCAGAGCCCAGGGTGCTTCCCTGGCACCTGGGGACCCTGCATTTGGACAGAGGTGTCCTGGAGCAGCATTAGGGATCTCTGAGATGGCAACAGGGTCTCACTCAGATCCCTGGGAAGCGGTGAAGGGCCCAGCCCATTTTAAAAGGGGAATCCCTGCCCTGGGACACTGGTGATCTAATGAGCCTGGTCTGACTCATCCAGACCCTCCTTGCAAGGGCTGACTCCTCCACCAGGTTTGCAGGGACAAGCCCTGCTTGGATGGCGGGTGACAGGGGAGGGCAGATGCAAGGAGAGAGGCTCGGGATGGGAGCCTGCAGCCTGCACTGACAGGGCATTTGCTACATAAACAGTTACCAGCCAGGTAGGAAAACTCCTTTCCCCTGGACCCCAGCCCCAAAATGAGTCTTGAACCATTGAATGGATGACTTGGCGCTTAAAAATCAGAGGCCTGTTATCGGTTCAGGCCCAAACCAGACAATGGCTCCTTATCTCAGGCTCCTCATCGGTGCTATAGAGCAGCCAAAGGCAATCCGGACTCACAGTAGAGAGGATATCTTTTATAAGATTTGTGCAAAAAAATTTCTTTAACTGCAAACAAAGAATTTTTTTTGCAAAAATCTTGTTGGTCTAATAAAGGATATCCTCTCTACTACGAGTCCTGATGATTGCCTTTTCCTCTAGACCAATACGGCTACGACCTGGCTACCTGACACAGAGCAGCAAATGCAATCGGCTCCAGGGCTTGGCTGAAATCCCCTCCTGGCTCCACCCCAGATGGGGCTTTGGGCAGAGAAGTTTGCGTCCACTCCCCCAGCCACGCATGGCTGGCCTCAGCTGCTGTGTGGTGCCCATCCCAAGGGACGCAGCGGCCAGTTGGTCTTTGCAGCCGCCGCTGAGATGTGCCAGTCAGATGATGCAGGTCAGTGCCACGAGTTTCTAATTGTAGGGGCAGATCAGATCAGCAGCTTGTCCTTGATGGAGCCAAGTGACATTGCCTCTGCTTGACTTGTCAGAGCAGGAGCCCTCCTCTCCTGCTTATACCCTCTCCCCTGAAGCTGGACCCTCTGGGGTTGATTGGTCTGGAGGCTGCGTGACACGTTGCCCAGGCTCCTTGCAGGTGACGAAGAGCCATCTCTCTATGTAGGACATCTTAGCATGCTCCGGTGTAGTTGGGCATAACATGTAGCCACTCAGATTATTCATTTATAGCAGCTACAGCTAAAATCTGTGAAGCCAGAGCTGGGAAGAAGCAAGCTCCCCCTGGCCAACTGCCCCTTCTCGTGCTGGCCATCACCAAGGGAGGTTTTACTGCCATTGCTCACACGCGGAGGTCATCTTATCTCATCTTTACCTCCTGATAAACTTGTGACTTATCCTGGACTCTGGCCCTAAGCCATAGTGGGAGTTTTCTGCCACGGTGCCTAATTGCACACTGGTCCGTTATGAATTTTTGTGGGTGAAACCGTTCTGGGTTTGACTTCAGGCGGTTTTGCGCATCCAAAGTGTCTGTCTCCCTCGTCAAGCCTTGCAAAATGAGCTTTAGCAATGAAAGGCAGCAGGCCTGGGGATTTCTGTGATCTCAGTCTGAGGGCGACTTTGCAATTCGAGCGCATGAGAAAAGCTGAGGTCAGTGCCCAGAAGTGGGTAGTGCTTTGAAGGAAGATTTTTCAGACTGATACAGGCTCTCACGGAAGCTTGTCAAAAACAAAGGCGTGGAAAGAGAAGGCATATATTATTCATGCATCTCATGCTGGAGCGATGCCACAGTGACTATCCCATCACGGAAACCTTCCTTCTAAGGATGCAGAGCAAATGCAGGTTGGGTGGGTTGGAAAACATTTGATCTCATGGAATAGTCCCAAAAGTGGATTTTCTGTCAATGGCAAAATACCACCAGGCGAGCCGCTGGGCTAACAGCGCATTGGGCAGCTAATGCAAATGGTAGCACAGATTCAGCTTCAGCAGGGTCTGGAGCTGCGCATCCAGGTTCAGACGCCGGTGGCTTCCTGTGTCTATGGGCTCAGAAGTGACATATAGAGCTTCTTTGGCGTGCCAAGCAAGAAATTTTGGGAGCACCAAAAATATTTGCCAATTGGGGTCAGACAGCTTCGGCTGAAATCAACTGGGGGAGGGGGAGGAAGGTCTCGAACTGCCCAGAGATTGAGGTTTAGCATTTTCTAACTGAAATGTTTCATTGGGGAACCCCCAAAGCCTTTCGTTATGACACTCCATGAACGAAACGCTCTGATTTTCCTGCAGGTTTTGTTTTTCTTGGGTTCTTCTGTTTGGGTTTTACTTTGCCCCAAAACCATGAGATATTTTGTGTCGGTCTGACCCAAACTGAGTTTCCCCCCCAATTTTTATTTCTTTGCTCTGGGCATCGAACTGAAAGCTCCTCTCTTTCCCTGGCTTACACTGCAAGCTCTTTCTGTCGTGGGTTGGCTGAGTGCATCGCAGGATGGAGCCAGGGCTCTGGTTGGAGTCACGGTACCGCTGCAATCAGAATTAGACCCAGTCTTCAGACCGGCTGTGTAGCCTTTGGGTACCAGAGGGCTGTGATGTAAGAGCAGGACTTTGTTAAATAGATCCAAGGGGACTGGCTCCAAAGAGATTTCCCCCTATTTGTTCTGGGCAATTGCATGCACAATAACCTGTATCCTGTTCCCCGGATCTGATAAGCTGCTCTCCCCTCCTATCCTATTATGCATCTATATTATCCGTCAGCATTCATGGTCAGTAAAAGGAGAGGGAAGTGACTCCAACCCGGTCTCCATTTATCCCGAAACCTTGAGAGCTGATCTGTGTTTAAGCATGGTCTTATTGAGCCCTAACAAAGGGAGTCAAGGGAAGTTCTGCATTGGTGATGGTCGGAGGGGACCTCAGTGCCTCCCACAAATAACCACCCATCAAGGGAGGAGGGATTGTGTTGGTGACTGTACAGCATCTTCAAAAATGCAGCGAGATGAAGGCTCCCCTTCCTTCAACCCAAATGCCCCTCCATAAACCCGGCCAAATCCTGCCCTGAGCAGAGTTTAGTGCCAGAGAGCCCATGAAGTGCAACGACGACTCACCGATTGCTTTGATTATACTTGGAAGGGACCCAGATCCTGCAGTGAGGATCTGGCAGGAAAAACCCTCACCTGGAGAGAGATTGCAGCTCATCTCAGCCTGCCCTGGTGCTGGGTGAGCGCTGGCTGAGCAGAGCCTCCCATGTCTCGTGCTAGGCTGGGTCCAGTACAGTGCACCTAGGGCTTAAGTCAATTTATAATGGCAGCATATCATACGTGGGGCCCTGCCTGCATACGTCATGTGGGCCAACATGCACAAGGGCCCGGCGCCATCCAGGAGTGGGCCATTGTCCACAGGTTGCCCTCCAGTCCTACCACCCTAGCCCCCAACCCTTTGCCGCTCTGTTTAACTCCCCACCAGGGAGCTACTCCCAGCTCAGGGTGCACAGGGAGACGGGAGGAGCAGCTGCCTTGCTGCCATCACAGGGTGTGTGGAAATCACCGCTGGCCTTGAGTCATCCATAGACAGTCCCATTCAGGGCTTTGTCATCTCCTCAAACAACCGGGAGGGATGAGGGTGGTGAATAACAGCGCTCATGCAAGCCCTGGCACAGGAGGGGGATTAACCCGTTCCTAGCATGGCTGAGGGGAGGTCAGGCATGCAGAAGGTAAGCAGTCACAAGTTTTGCTCCTCCACTGCCAGTGCACTCAGTCATGCATCACATCACCGCGACTTCCCACATCCATAGTTCGCTTGGCCCAGATCACTCCCTAGAAGAGCCGAGGGATGGGACAGCAGATGGGACAGCACAGGGCAATTCCTGCTGGGGTTTGCCAGAGCTCGGCTCTCCCAGCTCCCTTCTCATGGTCTTGTAACGGGCGGGGAGTCACTCCAGTCATTTCTAGAGCTTTTTCCTTAGCGGGCGCATGTCATGACTCCCGTTAGGGACATCAGAGCTGCCCTATTGGCATATAGACACTCACGCGTGTCGTGCTTTCCGTTTTCTTCACCCAGGTGTTTTGATGCAGCCTCCTCTGCCCCGAAACACCTCCTGGAAAAGGCAGAGCCCCTGAGGCATCCCTCCCCGGAGCATCCTCTGTTTGCCTCTGCCGGCTAAAAAAGACGGAGCCTCTCACACCTAAACATCTGCGGTTCTTCCTCGAAGGGCGGACGCGCACCTGCTCACTCAGCGCTCACATCTGGCTGAGAGCGCACCAGCCGGGCTGAGGAAAGCATCCAGCCCCTGGACTTTCACCTCTTACATTGGGGCGGCTGCTTCGAGTTGTCCCGTATGGGACAGCATGGACAGTCACGCTGTTTTTTAAGACCCTAGAAAAAAACCCGTGCGACATTAACCCCGCGAGACACAAGCGAGCGCACAAGATGCTGAAGGCAAGGTTACTGCAGCCTTCTCTGCAGCTCCAGCCCAGCTGCGCCGGGCCCACGAAGCCCAGCCAGCGCTCCTATGGCTTCGAGACTCCCAAAGCGGATGCAGGAGAGGGCTGTGGTTGTCGGGTCCTGCAGCCGGAGAAAGAGAAGCCATCGGGAAGCATCGGGCCTTTTCGCCCACCGGACCAGGAGGAAAAGGAGCCCGGGAGAACGAACGGAGACCTGCCGGTGCCCAGGTTGAACAGCAGCAGCTTGGCATCCTCTGGCAGGTGCTCGAGCCTGGGGAAAGCCGCGGGGTCTGTGGCGGACCTGCCCCCCTCGGAGCCGAGCCAAGAGTGGAAGGTGGTGAAGGTTCAACGCGTCCTCGTTTCTCCCGTGGGCCAGCCAAGGAAAGCAAGTAAGCAAAGCCTCTGTCCTTCCTCCCCCCACCGCGGGCTGTGTTGGGAGGCGATCCCTCCTGCTGCGCCTTAGCCTCGGGTACCTAACACTGATCCTGGCGGGTGCCGGGAGCTTCTCCGCAGCTTTTCCTAGGGCTATCAATCCAACCCACTCAGGCTAGGTGGGGAGGAAAAACCCCTCCATCATCCTCTCCCCTGGGAAGCCCAGTGACATCCCACTGGGAGCAGGGCCTTGAAGTGAGGTCATTGCTGAGCAGCCCGAGCAGATGGAAATCCCAGCCCTTTCCAAGCACTGGGCGGGGGGTGATTGACGGGAACAGCTGCTGCGTGCTTCTCAGACGGATGGTCCCAGGCCTCGCGTGGAGCAGGAGGGCCTCCCTTCTGGAGGGTCAGCAGGCCTAGAAAATGGGGAAAGTGGTGGAGCCACTTTCTGTCCCCATGCGTGCATATGACGGCGCTGCAAGGTGCCAGGTTCCCCTGCCTGGGGACCGATCTCCGGAGCCACAGGACAGGCAGGGCGGTCTTCCCCGGCAACTCACCCCCCGTGGCCAACTGACTGTGGGGACTTGCACAGGTCGGGTGGCTTTTTTTCCTGATGTGAGCCCTGCCTGCTGCCTCGCCCAGGCCCCCAGTGAGCTGTCCCATGCCGGCCCAACCCGAGCCATTTTTAAACAGGTGCCCTAATAGCTGCTGCGGGGTCATCTCCTGCCCTGGTACTTCAGAACCCTAGGTTAGAAATGAGAGTCTCCTATACACATGCAGGGAGCCTGCTCTGATTAATACTTACCACGTATTAACGGTAAGTGGTAATTGCCGCACTCCAGCAGCCTCCGGCGTCACGTGTATCCGTATCCCTGCACTGAAAAATGGCAGTGGGGCGCTCTAAACTAAAGCTCATTCAATTCATTTTAGTTCAAAGTGCCCTGCTGCCATTTTTCAGTGCAGGGGCGCTGATACCTGTGATGCTCTGGGCGCTTTTAATTAATGTGGCTCTTGGAGTTGCACTAATTAAAGCGTCCTCCCTACAACTCCCGGAACATGTGTATGAATAAATGCCTTGGAGGTGCTTGATTTCAGCCCCCTTGTTTCCTACCCTGCGTATTTGTCGGAGGACCACGCACACGTAGCCAGGATGGTTTTTTCCTTTCCAGCTCCAACTGCATTTCAACCCCCCCCCCCCACCAACCAAAAATACAGCAACTTTTATTGGTCATGTTAGCAAAGCCCCACTCTTGCTGTCATCAGGCTTGTAGATGCACTGTAACCACTTTAGAAAGGCCCTCCTACAGACATTGGACCCGTTTTTAATGCCTTTTCCATCACTCTTCCCTTCCAGCTCAGTTCTCTTTGGCAATTCCCAGTATCGCAGAACCAGCTGGGTCTTTTGCTCCCTGGCTAGGAAGCATCCCTCATCTTACATTTCCTAGCTCTTTTGGGGGCATTGCATTTGGGAAGGCCAACTGGAAATGCTTTCAAGGTGCCTGAGATTACCAAAAAGAGGTGAGAACCCTGCTTCTAAAAACCAGGTCCCTTTGAAGGCTTTCAGATGGAGCACCGCCAAGGTGAAGGCAGCTCCAGGCACTAGCTGCCCTGGAAAAACTTGGCCGTGCTTTTTGTACGGGGGCTTTGTTCGCCGCTCGTCTGGCAGTGGAGAACCTGGATTTGACAGCGCTGCACGCCCGGCCGGCCAGACCCGCGTAATCTCCCCGGCCAGCATTGTTCTCCATTCAGGACGGCGGCTCGGCTGTGATAGAGCCGACTGCATCCAGCCTCAGCACTTTCCCAGCACATGCCATGAGCCGGCAGCACTGCTGCCAGCCTGGAAGGTGGGGTGGAAAGAGCTTGTCTGTCCCGCTTCCTTCTCCTCCGAGTGAGATCACTGGAATCTGCCGCCTGCGATACCATCACTATTTCCATAGCCACCGGGGATGAGGTCACATCTGGTCCCGGGAACGGGATCAGACCCTCTGGCTTCAGGTGGGAATGGACATCTGAGAGCCCCTGAAATCTGCGGGGCTGAGCCCACTGGCATCAAAAACAGTGGGGAAAAAGAGGACGGAAAGTGTGAGGGCTGATGGCAGGGTTGTCCTTATAGCCAAGTGCTTTTTAAAGTGTCCCATGAGCTGACAGCAGGTGCTTTACCTGCTCCTGCTCCTTCCCCCCCTGGAGAAACAGGTTCCCGGTGACACCCAAGAGTCCAAACCCACCTTTGTGAAATGCCTGCCTTGGTCTCAGTCCCCAGAAAACACCTGGTCATGCCACGCTGTCCCCCACCTAGCCCCACACCTGGCAGGTGTAGAGGTGCAATGTGGGGGGCTTCTCCCGGGGCCCGAGGGCACGGGGCTGCGGTGCTTGCAGTCCGCTTGCTGCCCTGCCAGCAGCACTGATTTCCCACCACACCTATGGGATGAGGTCCAGGGTGTGCGTCACTGTTCCTGTTCTCACGACCGTCACATCACAGCCCGTTGCCGTGCAGCTGAGCAGACCCCGCGCGGCTCCCCGGAGGGGGTAATTCCTTAGCCAGGGCCTGAACTGAACCGCTGAAGTCAGTTGGGGGGTTGGTAGTGAGTTTACAGGGGGGCAGGATTGGGCCCTTAAAGAGGACTTTTGCTCTCCAAAGGGTTCCCAAACTTTCCAATAGTCTCAACTGGAGCTGGGGCTACTCAAGATCCCGAAGGACCCAGCTGCTCCAATCCTGCTGAAATTCAGAGCGACAGGTTACCTCTGGAAAATACCGAGACCCATTTACTTGTATCTGCATCTAGAGCAGGATTCCCACCTCCTCGTCTCATCCCAAACTCCCCCGGGAAGCTGCATGCATGCTGGCACCATCACTGCCAGGCCGATGGACTGTGATGTCACTGCGCAGGATTATGACCTCATGACCAGATTGTACAGAAGAAGCAAGGCTAAGTGGGGGGCAGCGAGGGGGTAGTCCTCCCAGGCCAGGCCTTGCAGGGAGGATCCCTCTGGGGGATTAGCAGGGCATTAAATGAATCCATTCATGAATTAATCAGTGAATCTCCATTAATTACATGAATGGAAGCAAGGGGGTGCCCACGCAGTGGCGCTCTGAGGAGCAGCCCCCAGCTCCAGTTGAAGTCAGTGCTCCACGTACCTAGACTTCATAGACGTCATGGACATTAGGGTGGAAGGGACCTTGCAGGATCATCGGGTTCAGCCCCCCCGCCCAAGGACCAGGAAGTCAGCGGGGGTCAGATCACCCCAGCAAGATAGGCATCCGAGCATTTCTTACACGTATCTGGAGTAGGTGCTTGCACCGCTATGAGCCCGTGGGAATAATTTAGTCCAGTCCCTAAAAGGGAATCTCATTCTGGTGGGAGTCATTGAGGGACATGCCAAGGGCTTGGATGATGCTGACAGGCAGAGCAAGGCAGAAAGCAGGAACAGGGCAGCACTAGGACCTTGTGCGCAGGCTGGCCAGCTGCCGGCTGCTTTGCTAGCTGCTCAGCTAGCAGCATCCAGACAGGCAGAGCAGAGCCGAGCGTGCAGCCCTCACTCGCTTGCTGGCAGCAAGGAGAGGAGGACTGGCTTTGACAGACACGGGCAGTTGCTGCGAAGCGGGATACCCGGTCCCCCCTTGCCCAGTGGGCAGGCCGGGCGAGCTGCGGAGGCTGGAGGCAGGTCGGGCACAGCCACGCCAAGCTCTTTCGGGGCGGATTAAGGCAACCCAAACCTGAAGCAAGGTAAGGGGTGGAGAAAGGGGGAAGAGGAAAAAGTTGTTCAGCTGGCTGAGAGCTCTGGTTTTGGGGCTGTGGCTGGCTCCTTCTGCCTCGCCAGCATGTCTGGATGCTCGGCGTGAGCTGGGGTGAAGCTGGGCAGTTCCCAGGTGAGCAGGCACCTTCCCACCGGGTAGAGCCCGTGCCCTGCTGGGTCTTGATGCCGGCCTCTTGGCTTCCTCCTTGCAAAGAGCACCGGGATCCTTTGCCGCCTTCCTACTATTTTGGGGGAGCCCAACTGGAAATGCCTCCAAGGTGCCTGGTTACCCCAAAGGGCTGGGAACCCCATTGCTAAAACCCAGGTCCCTTTGAAGGCTTTCAAATGGACCCCCCCTCGGCACCTGGGTCTTGCCAGGCTCACCAGGCGGGCTGGGCAGTGCCGGGCTGATGTAATGTCTTTGGCCATGGAGCCGTGCTGGATGGGATGCTGGGTTTTGCATAACTTCCCTCCAGCTGACCGCTGCAAAAGGGCAGGTTTATAGGCCGGTGTCTCCAGCTGCCATCGTCAGAGGGAACTTTTCCGTGCCTGTCGGCAGGCCCCGAGGGAGCGCTCGCTTGGCCTCCCGGCGCGACGTAAACAGGGTTGTTTGCTCCCGTGGTAAATTGACACCCGCGCGCGTGTGTGTGCATGTGTGTGTGCATGTGGCAGATGTGCTGCAGAGCCTGGCTATTAATTAGGAAGGCAAAACTGCTGCTCGGCCGGCGCGCACAGCTGGGAACCGGAGCCCCGCTATTTCAGCCTGATGAGGGGGCTCGGACGGGGGCCCCATCTGTCACCTGCCTGTCTCGTGTGCCCCCGCTGCAAGACGTGGGCTTGGCGGCAGCAGATCAGGGGTTTGGTTCAGTTGCTTGCTGGACCCTGGACGGCTCCAAACTTCGCTTGCCAGCAGGCGGAAGCCGGGGGCTTGCTGCTTTTCTGCCCCCACAATAAACCCTCCGCATGTGTTTCCAAAGCTGGCATTGTATAGACTCCACCGGAGCTGCTAAGCTCTGCAAGATGTGGGGGTGGATCTCCAGCATATACCTTGCTGCATGTAAAGGCAAAGAGGTTGGATGTCTGAATGAAGCCGGCAGATCTGACGGGGTTTAGCCTTTTCCTTTCCAGCCGCCCCCGGCTCACTCCTGCCCATCAGGAGTGATTTCATTTGCCCTACTTTTCTTCCCTGCAGCGAAGGGCTGCCTGGGGGCGATTCGGTCCCAGCCAGACCACCCCGCGCTGGAGACACGCGGTCGGCCAGCGTGCAAGCTGCGGCCAAGGG